ATGCTGCAAGATCCCCGCGGCAGTAGGCAGCAGAAATGCTGTAGGTCCCAAATGGTGGCAGCGGGCCATGTGGTGGCAGGCAGCGGGCCCTGGGAGCAGCCAGTCCCAGGCAGAAATGGCTGCCAGTCCCAGAGTGGTGGCCCAAGCGGTGGTGGCGGGCCATGTAGCGGCAGACAGCGGGCCCTGGGAACAGCCAGTCCCAGGCAGAGACGGCTGCTGGTCTCAGAGCAGTGGTGGCGGGCCATGTGGCAGCAGACAGTGGGCCCCAGGGCAGAGACAGCTACTGGTCCCTGAGCAGTGGCTGGTTCCAGGCAGGGAGACACATGGCTGGTGGGCAGAAGACAGAAACAGGGATAGACACGACATGCAGGGTGAGGTTGAATGTTTATTCAGGGGGTTATGGAGGAGGAAGGGTGAAGGGGGGGCAGAGAACGAGGGAGAGAGAGAGAAGAGGAGAAAGAGACAGAGAAGGGGGAAGCAGAGAAGTGGGGAGAGAGGAAGAAGCGAAGCTGCCTCTCCAAGAGGAAGATGGAAAAAGAGAATGAGCTCAGGCCGGAAGCTGAAGATCAGCCTGCCTCAGCGGATGGGGAGGGGAATGGGTGTGGTTTGTCTCTTAAAGGGACCAAAGCCATAACATTGACCATGTTCTTTGCTTTACAAAAGCTTCTCAGTTTCAGGAGGTCCCATTTATTAATTGTTTCTCTCAGTGTCTGTGTGTCTGTTTTCTCTCAGTGTCTGGCAAGGAAGTGGTTTCCTTGCCAATGCATTCAAGTGTACTTCCCACTTTCTCTGCTATGAGATTCAGTGTAGCTAGCTTTATGTTGAGGTCTTTAATCCATTTGGACTTGAGTTTTGTGCATGGTGATAAATATAGATCTATTTTCATTCTTCTACATGTTGATATCCAGTTATGCCAGCACCATTTGTTTAACATGTTTTCTTTTTTCCATTTGATATTTTTTGCTTCTTTGTCAAAGATCAAGTGTTAGAAGGAGAGTGGATTAATATCTGGTCTTCAATTTGGTTCCATTCTTCCTCCTGTCTGGTTTTCTGCCAATACAAGGCAGTTTTCAGTACTGTAGCTCTGTAGTGGAGTTTGAAGTCAGGGATTGTGATGCCTCCAGAAGTACCTTTATTGTTCAGGATTGTTTGGCTATCCTGGGATTTTTGCTTTTCCATATGAAGTTGAGTACTGTTCTTTCAAATCTGTGAAGAATTTTTCTGGGATTTTGATGGGCATCGTATTGAATTTGTAGATTGCTTTTGGTAAGATTGCCATTTTTACTATGTTAATTCCCTACCCAAGAGCATGGGAAATCTTTCCATTTTCTGGTGTCTTCTTCAATTTCTTTCTTCAAAGATTTAAAATTCTTGGTCTAAAACCTTCCACTTGTTTGGTTAGAGTTACTCCAAGATATTTTATGCTATTTATGGCTATTGTGAAGGGCGATGTTTCTCTGCTAATTTAGTTTTTATTGTTGGTGATGTTAATTTGTGCATTTTTCCCTTCTTTGGGATTTGCTGCTATGAGACCATCAATTGTCTGTGTTTTGTTGATGTAGCCATCTTCCTTGGGTTGGGGTTTTCCTTCTAGTACTTTGTATAGGGCTGCATTTGTGGCTAGGTATTGTGTAAATCTGGTTTTGTTATGAAATATCATGTTTTGTCCTTCTATGGTGATTGAAAGTTTTGCTGAGTATAGTAGTCTGGGCTAGCATCCATGGTCTCTTAATGTCTACATAATGCTTGACCACAACCTTCTGGATTTCATTGTCTCCAGTGAGAAGTCAGGTGTAATTCTGATAGGTCTACCTTTATATGTTACTTGGCCTTTTTCCTTTGCAGCTCTTAATATTTTTTCCTTATTCCATATGTTTAGTGTTTTATTATTATGTGGCAAAAAGACTTTTTTTGGATCCAGTCTATTTGTGGTGTTCTGTAAGCTTCTTGTATCTTTATATGGATATCTTTCTTTAGGTTGGGCAAGTTTTCTTCTATGATTTTGTTAAATATATTTTCTGTGCTTTTGAGTTGACTTCTCCTTCTTCTAAATCTATTATTCTTAGGTTTGTTCTTTTCATGGTGCCCCATATTTCCTGAATATTTTGGTTGAGCTTTTGTTAGATGTAATGTTTTCTTTGACCAATGAGTCTATTTCCTCTATTGTATCTTTAGTGCTTGAGATTTTCTCTTCCTTCTCTTTTATTTTGATGTTCATGTTTGCCTTTGTGGTTCCTGGTTTTTTTCTCATGATTTCTGTTTCTATAATTCCCTCAGCTTATGTTTTCTTTATTGTTTCTATTTCAGTTTTCAAGTCTTGAATAGTTACTTTCATGTGTTTGATTTCTTTTCCTTGGTTTTCTTTAAGTGATAGTCTGATGCCTTCCAATTTTTTGTTTGTCTTTTCCTCAATTTCTTTAAGGGAATTTCTCATTTCATCTTTTAAGAATTTCAAACATTCTCTTAAAGCTATTTTTAGGTCATTTTCTTCTGGTTCATCCATATTTGGTTGTTTAGGTCTTGCTGTTGTAGGGTCTTTAGGTTTTACTGGTGTTGTGTTGCTCTTTGTGGTGTAGTATGTGATCTTACCTTTTCTATTCATCTTTTCCTCTAATAGGTGTGGTTGGGGTTGTCTGAGATTCTGTTGAATAATCTTCTAGGTGCCAGTGAATCCAAAGCTCAGATGGTTGTTCCTCATGGTACAGTCAGTGTCCCAGTTCTAGTTGCCCTGTTGGTTACTTCATGTTCCTGGAGGTAGCTCAGCACTCCTTTGCTTTGCTCTGCTCCTGCTCCCTTGGAGTTTGCTCCCTCAGGCCCACTTTGGCCTACATTGCCAGCTTTGCCCTGTTTCTATAAATCCTGGTCTGGATCCCCTCCTGCAGAAGTCCCTGGCTTGGAGTTGGACCTGTTCTGGTGGAGATCACTGACTCTGGATCTGGTCACTGGCTCAATCCTGATCCACCAGTGTCTGGGAACTGGGTTGGCTCCCAGGGTTGGATTTGCCACTGGCTTCTGCTCCTGGTGAAGCTTGTTTCCTCCAGCTCTCTCTGTCCTAGGAGTCTCAATTCCACTCCTGTGGAATTTGTTGCCCAAGGTGGAGTTGCTTGCCTTAGGGCAACTTTGGCTAGATTACCAACTTTGACCTGTAGCTATAAATCCCGGTCTGAATTTTCTCCTGCAGAAGTGCCTAGGTTAGAGTTGGACCTGGGAAGGTTTCTGGTTCTGATCTACTGTCTCGGAGGTCCCCAGCTCTGGAGTGCCTGGTCCCACAGAGGATCTGCTTGCTTCCTCAGAGGTCCCAGACTCATGCTCGGACCTGCAGAGGTTCCAGGTTCCTGCCTATTCCCTTTGATGTCCCAGACCAATGCCTGGACCCACAGATGTCCTGGGTCAGGCCTATTCTCTCTGTGGTCCCAGACTCATGCCTGGCCCCACCAAGATCTGTGGTTCCTGCCTACTCCCTCGGAGGTCCCAGGTTCACTCACACCCAGACTGGCAGAGGTCCTGGCTCAAGCCTAGTTCCTTGAAGGTCCCAGATTCGTGTCCAGACCCTCAGCGGTCTCTTGCTCTGGCTCACTCGCTCAGCAGTTACTCCCCTGTACCTGTTCTGGTGGAGATAGCTGACTCTTTCTTTCTTAGCCCATTTATCATCTGTATAAAAGAGGGCTACTAATTTTTTTGAGGATGTGGGGTAAGAGGAACACTCCTCCATTGCTGGTGGGAGTGCAAACTTGTACAGTGGCTTTGGAAATCAGTATGGCAATTTCTCAGAAAATTAGGAAACTATCTACCTCAAGACCCAGCAATCCCATCATTGGGTATATACCCAAAAGATTCTCAAAAAAAAAGGCATTTGCAGGCAAATGGATGGATCTAGAAAAAAAATTATTGAGTGAAGTAACCCAGACCCAGAAAACAAGTATAATATATATTCACTCATAAGTGGCTTTTAGACATAAAGCAAAGAAAAACCAGCCTACAGGCCACAATCTCAGAAAACCTAGACAACAAAGAGGACCATAAAAGAGACATACATGGATCTACATAGGACAGTGAGAAAGACAAGATTCTCTGAGTGAATTGAGAGCATAGGGGTCATGAGTGAGAGAAGAAAGGGAGAGGGGAGGAAGAGAGAGGAGTGGAGAAATGTATATCTCAATAAAAACAGTAAGAAAGAAGTTAAGGGGCAAATCTGGTTGAAATAGGTGTTGGCAAGGTTTTTCACCCTTTATACTTTTAATGTGCCTTATGTGTGCCTGCCCAAAGCTTGTCCTGTGCTCTCTTCTTGGTTTTGTCCCTTTACATAGGCTCTGCCTATAATGTTCTATCAACTGGCCAACTTCCAAAGTTCCAACTATCTTTATGTGCTCAGTCAGTGAGATTTTATTGAGTGTCTCTTATATACCAGTAGGAATTCTCTGCACCTACATGGTGGCTCACAACCATCTGTACCAACTCCAGGGGATCCAGTGTCCCTCTTCTTGCCTCTATAGTTACTTCACACATAGTAGACAGCATACATAAATGCAAAAAAACCCATACACATAAAATAAATAAATCTTTGATAACAAATATGGGAGTTGAGTATAGGTCTCATTTTACCTATTGGTTCCAACTTTTCTCATTGCAGTTCAATGATTTCAAATATCGAAGCACTCCAATGCCAATCAGTCATTCCTCTCTGTGCTCTCCTGGGATCACTTTATCTCTTTGCTGTGAAATTGATGTCATCCTGTCCTGTATTTCAGCTCAGGACATCAAGCCCTGAGTGCCCAGGTCATTCTTTTGTCTCCCAGAGCACCCAGCACAGTCTATCCATTCAGGCATCATGAAACCCTTGGCAAATGGAACTGTATTTAATTGGTTCCATGACTAAAGCAGGAAGCAAATATGGGTGTGGACGCTCTGAACAGCTGCTGACCCAGCCCTTGCCCAGGAAAGAAGTGGAGAGGACTTTGGATCATTCTAAATGAATCCTCCAACTGGGCAGAGTGCAGTCACTCTCTAGAGGAGTAAGTTTTCCACAGCAGAGAGCTGGGAACGGGAGCAAGAGAGGCTTACTTGGCAACAGGCACAGTAAGGTGAGTGTACATAATCGAGTATTTGTACGGATCGCTGAGGGATGGGGAGAAGGGGTTATTGTCAAATGAGATACGGGGAATGGATGAAAGATGTTGGAAGGGTGTATTACACTCAGTTTGCTGTGTCTGCTCCAAAAGTGGAATGGGAAAAGGAAAGAAAATTTTAAAGGCACGCAAACTCAGTGGGTAAGGGTTACTGTTGCCAAGACTGATGACCTGAGTTTGAGATCTAGGACCCACATGGTGGCAGGAGAAACTCAACTTCCACCAGTTACTCTCTGACCTCCAAATGTGTGACATGGAACACACACACACATTACACTGATAATGGACTTTTCTTGAGCACAATGACCTCCAATTTTTTAATATGTCCCTGATACTGGAGAAGTCCCACTCTTTTCTGTTTCCTTTTCTGAAATCTAAGAGAACTGAACTCAGTGTTCCCAAGAGTCTTTCCACTGTGGCACTCCAGAGCCAGATAATGTCAATGTATGCAAACTAAGATGGAAACGCTAGGAACCATGCAAATGGAGAAAAGGCTCAGCCTGTCTTCCGGGATCACCTAACCTCTCCAGGCCATACTTTATTAATCTGTGGGACTAAGGTTAAGATTGAAAGAGATGCCTTTGTAAAGCATTGGTTGCCTGGTATTCTCAATAAGACCTGTAAAGAAGGCTTAACACTGTCTCTAAAATGGGATTAGCAAGGTTATGGGGTTGAATTGCTCAAGAAAAAGCCATTCTCAGTTGGGATTTTTATTCGCTTGGTTGGTTGCTTGGCTGGTTGGTTTTTGTTTGTTTTGCTTTGTTTTTTTCAAGAGAGGGTTTCTGTGTAACCCTAGCAGCCTTAGAATTCACTCTATAGACCAAGCTGGCCACGAACTCACAGAGATCTGCCTGCCTCTGCCTCCTGAGGGCTGAGAGTAAAGGTATGCACCACTCACCATGACACCTAGCTTCATTCTCAGTTATTTTAAAGTGTTTAAAGTCCTATATATGTGCATGTGTGGGGGTGTGCAAACATATGTGTGCACATATGTATGGAGGTCACAGGTCTATGTTGCATGTCTTCTTCGCTCACTCTTCATCTTATCTTTTAAACTGGCAACCAGCTAGCCCTAGAGATTCCCTGTCTCTCTTGCCTGGCAGGTATGCTTGACAATAAAGACAATAACAATAAATCTGTTTTATTATTATTGTTATTACACTTTATTTGATTACTGTGGATGACCACAGATGTGCCAGTAAATGTTCTTGGAGATTATGGGGAGTCAGTTCCACCATGTAAGTCCCAGGGCCCAAACTCAGGTCATCAGGCAGTAAGTGCCTTCACCTGATAAGACATCTCAAGGTCAAGATCCTAGGCTTGACTTTTTACTAAGGTACTGGAGATCCAAACTCATATCCACATGCTTGTGTGGCTACTGTTTGAGCTATCTTCCCAGCCTCTTGAAGTCTTTTGAAAACTGTAAACACAAGTATACAAATGACAAGTGACTCTATTGCACTTATTTCTTTCATCAGCATGAACCCAACGACTCCACCAGGCCCCACGGCCAATTCTGTATATATGGTGCCACCCTACAACGGTTACCCTGTGATCACGGGAACGGTGGCTCAGGTGCCTCTCTATCCAGGCAACCAGAGTCAAATCCACGTAATTCATGGGAATCCACCTGGTTTGGTGCCAGTCCAGAAAGTCTTGAAAGATGGCAAAGTCCTAGGGGTAAGTGGAAGTTCACTTTGTGACCCTGAGGCCACGCTACAGAGAGAGGCTTGAGATAGATGACTAGAAATTCCAAAGAGGGAGCAGCAGACTGGGATAGCTCAGTTGGTAAAGTGCTTAATGAAGCACTTGCAAGTTGAAAGCCATCTCCAGTGGTCCATTTGTGAGACTTTAGACTCCAAATATGCCACTATGCACAAGAAATGTGGTACCTATAAGTTTATTTGTTGCAGTGTGGCTTGTAGGGACAGAAGGATGGACACAACCAAAGTATCTATTCTGGTTTTGTTTCTGTTGCTGTGATAAAAAAAAATACTCTGATGAAAAGCAACAGATGGGAGGAAGACGTTTGTTTGACTTACAGTTCCAGGTTAGCAGGGAAGTCAAAGAAGAATTTGAGGCAGGTTACATCACATCCACAGCTAGAGCAGAGGAGAACTAACACATCTGTGCTCCTTCTAGCTCTCGTATATTTTTCTCTATCCTCTACAATTCAGGACCTCTGTCTAGGGAATAGTGCTGCCCACGATGGCTGGATCTTCCCACATGAATGAATGAGCAATGGAGACAATCCCCCATAGAAATCCCCACAGTCTAACCTAACCTAGATATTTCCTCATTAATACTGTCTTCCTAAGTGACTGCATGTTGTATCAAATCGACAGTTAAAACTAACCAGTATACTATCCATCAATTTAACATTAGTAAGCCACTGTTGTTATAGTACCATGAAGAGAACAAGGAAGCTCTTTGTGCAATGATTGGGTCTTATTCCGAGATATGTTATTAATGTACCATTAGTATGAACCTAAGGAAACAATATATATGCTTTATACAGCATATCTGCAAGAAACACACACAGCAATATCTATATTAGCTTCTTATGGATGCTATAATATAGCCCATGGACTCATAGCCAAGAACAACAGAAATGCATTGCTTCACATTTCTGGAGAATATATATCTAAAATCAAAGTCTGTTGGGATCGAAGAACTGCCTTAGGTTGGGTAGCTCCCTCTGCAGGCATAAAGGAAAGATCTCTTACAGATCTTTCTCCCAGTTTCTAGTAGCTCCTTGGCTGCTGCAGCATCACTCAGATTCCCGCGTGGACGTTTCATTTTATTTTGGTTTTTGAAGTAGGCTTTGGATTCAGAATCCTAGATTTTCACAACTAATTTTTTTAAGTAATGACACTGGTGATATTGGATTGGAACTCACCCTATTCCAGCATGATTTCATCTTGATTCATGGCATTAGCAACATTCCTATATTCATATCAGGCCATATTCAGAGAAACTAGGACCTCAACACATGAATTTGGTAAAGAATAAGGAAGGACAAAGAATCTATGAGACAAGAAAAAAATTAAAGGCAAAAAATTACACGCAAGAATGTTGAACATAAGTCCGTGTGTAACATAAAATCTAAAGGTCATCTTACCTGTCCAACATCAGTCTTACAGCTGCCCTCAGAGACTCTAGGAAGCCCTTAGAGAATATTTTGAAAAATAGCTAGTGAATTGGGAAGTGCTTGCTGGTGTAGAGACTGAAATACAGATCCAAAGTAATCACATAAAAGCTAGGTACAATAGCATGAGCCTATAATACCAGCGCTGGGGAGGAAGAGACAAGAGGATCCCTGGAGATTGCTGGCCAGCCATGTTTAACCAATTGGTGAGCACCAGATTTGGTGAGAGACTCTGTCTCAGAAAAATAAGATGGAGAGTGACTGATAAAGGCACCTGATGTCAATCTCCAGCTTCCACACTCACATACTTTCACACACATCCATGTGCATACACGTATGAACATGTACGAACACACTCATACATACCAACAAAATTTAACAACCCAAAGATATTCTCAGGATGAAGCATTGAGTTAATAAAGTACAGAGACACTGTTTCTATGTTACCAAGATATGTGTTTGAAAAAGAACAATAGAAGATTATAATGAAATGTATATGTTTGCTTTCTCCAGGGAGGGTTTGATTATAGATAGTTTTGATTTTATTAATATGTTTCTCACATTATCTTCTAGACCAGGGACACCAAATGGGTATTGCATAAAGGAAGTAAAAGGAAAGGCAAGATCAGGGCTTAGAGGCAAAGGCTTCAGCTTGTGGCTCTCGTGACAGGCCATCCAGATCCTGATTGGCTTGGTGCACATTGGCCTGGGCTCCATCATGTTATTCAACCTCTTCGGGTACTATGTACCGGTGTCCCTCTATGGAGGCTTCCCCTTCTGGGGAGGCATCTGGGTGAGTAGCTCCAGTCTGGTGCTCATGGCAGCCTCATCAAGCTGCTGGGGAATACGGAGGTTCTTGCTCAAAAGTCTTAGTTGGAGAAGGGGTTGGAATGGACTATAACAAACTGCCATCGGTTGGGTAGTTCCAGACCGTAGAAATGTGTGATCTCCCTGTTCTGAAGGCCAGAAATCCAAGACCAGAATGTCAGCCACTGACAGTAATCACCACTGCAGTCTCTCCTAACCTTATGGCTAGCCATCTTCCCCTGGTACCTGTCTTGTGTCCCAACTTCTTTGTTGTTGTTGTTGTTGCTGCTGCTGCTTCTGATGATGATGATGATGATGATGATGATGATGATGATGATGATGGCAGTGGTGGTGCTGGTGGTGTTAGTGGTGGTGCTGGTGGTGCTGTTGCTGCCGGTGGTGCTGCTGGCGGTGCTGGTGGGAGTGGTGGTACTGGTCGTGGTGCTGTTGCTGGTGATTCTGATGATGGTGTTGATGGTGGTGATGCTGATGGTGGTACTGCTGCTGCTGGTTCTGATGATGGTGTTGATGGTGGTTGTGGTGCTGATAGTGGTAGTAGTAGTGGTGATACTGCTGGTGGTGGTACTGCTGGTGATTTGGGGAGTGGTGATACTGGTGCTGGTACTGGTGCTGGTGGTGGTGGTTGTCGTGGTGGTGGTGGTGGTGGTGATGGTAGTGGTGGTAGTGGTGCTGGTGGTGGTGCTGATGGTGGTGGTGATGGTAGTGGTGGTAGTGGTGGTACTGGTGGTGATGGTAGTGGTGGTACTGGTGGTGATGGTAGTGGTGGTAGTGGTGGTACTGATGGTGATGGTAGTGGTGGTACTGGTGGTGATGGTAGTGGTGGTAGTGGTGGTAGTGGTGCTGGTGGTGGTGCTGATGGTGGTGGTGATGGTAGTGGTGGTACTGGTGATGGTGGTGGTGGTGCTGATGGTGGTACTGGTGCTGATGGTGGTGGTGGTGTTTTAAATTAGCATGGAAAGTAATGGGTTTATTATGGCACTTTCACTCCTACTTTGTTCTTGTCTTCTCCCTGGCACTCCCCTCCCTTGCTCCCTTGCTCCCCTCCCACATGACCCCTTCCTTCCCCTAATACCTCCCTGTTTTAGTTTCCTTTTTATTGCTGTGATAAAATATCCTGATGAAACAACACAGGGGGAGAAAGGATTTGCTTCAGCTTATGATTCCAGACTACAGGCTACATTCCTTTACAGAGAAGAAGTCAAGGTGCTGAGAACTTGAAACAGCTAGTCATATCAGATATAGTCAAGAACAAAGAGAGGCCGGGTGGTGGTGGCTCACACCTTTAATCCTAGCACTCGGAGGCAGAGGCAGAGGAAGAGCTAGTTCCAGGCCTGGAACCAAAAAGCTACGGAGAAACCCTGTCTCGAAAATCAAAAAAAAAAAAAAAAAAGAACAAAGAGAAATGAACGCATGCACGCTCACTTTACATGCTTGCTGGATCAACTCAAGCTCTCAACTATGACATAATCAGGAACCCCCATCTGAGGAATGGTGCTTCCCACAGTGACTTTTGTCTCCCCATATCAATTAAATTAATTAAGATAATCCTTCCCAGACATGATCACAAGCCAAACGAATATAGGCAATCCCTCGTTGAGATGATATTACCTAGATGATCTATGTAATATTAGGTTGACAATTCATCACACTCCCCTTCTGCTTCCATATCCAGTTTCTGTTGCCACTCTCATTTGCCATCAATCTTATGATCTCTTTGCCCCATTTCATGACTTATAACACCATGCATGCACATACACACACATACACAATACATATGTCTATGAGAGAAATTATGTGGTATTCACCTTTTAGATTCTGACTTCTTTCCCTTAACACGACAATTTATAGTCCATCCATGTTAACCTCCACTTATAAGAATGCTAATGGATATGCATGATAGAATGCGCCTTTATTCCCTGCACTCTGGAGGTAGAAGCAGAAGGATCTCTGTGAGTTCAGGGGCAGTCCAGTCTACAGAGTGAGTTCCAGGCCAGCTGGGGATACATAATAAAACCCTATCTAAAATCACATTATGAGGTTCTGGGGTTAGGTCTTTGAAAATACAAAACTGAGGGTCAGAAATCAAGCTATAGCCCTACAAAGCTGTACTCACCAAAACCAAGGTGTTTCTTCTAGATCATCAACCCAGTAATAGCATCATTTAACTCTCAAAGAAAACAATACTGGAGCTAGACTTTCAGCATTGTTCAGCAGACACCCAGAAGACTAAGCTCAAAAAACACTATTTTGTTGTTGTTGTCCAATAGTAAATGGCCCAGCAGAGGAGATGTCTAACTTATTGTCCATAGATGGGCTCAGAGGCCATTTCAGGGAAATATCGAGCACAATAGCTATGCATTCTTTTTCTAAAAAGGTCCATGGCTTTTATTAGATCATCAATGTTATCTGTGACTCCACAAAAAAAAAAAAATTACAAGCCTTTCTCAACGCCAGTTCATTGCCTTTGGACTCTCATTCTTTTCCTGGTTCCTTCCCAACATACACGCATGCACACACACACACACACGCACACACGCATGCACACACACACACACACATGCACACACACATGCATGCACACACACACATGCACACACATATGCACACACACACACTGCTCTTCTCCAACTCCCTTTCCTTGTTGCTTTCCCCTCATCTACCTGTGACTCAAATATGAGTTTTCCCATAAACACCCAAACTCCAGAATGGCCTTAGAAGGCAACCAATGCCGTCCTTTATTGTTCAATGTTAATAAAACAGCTTGGCACTCTGCCATCCCCACAGCCTCACAAACCTGCAAAACCATAAGGATGTATCATGTATCATCCTGATCCCTCTGACTCATATCAATGACTCCTCCTGTTCATGACTCTTCTTCCCAGGCTGCAGGTTCCTTGGACTCTGAACTGACCAGTACTTAGAGCTCAGCCCCATCCCTTGCCCCAACCCTCTACAGATGCCTGTACTTGTAGATAGACCTGTACTGAAATATCTCATAATGTCACAGCTACTCACTGACTTGCTGTACCATGTTAGAACCCCTGGGTGTCTGCGAACACCAGGACGTGCCCTGCCAGCCCTTCAGGGCACAACTTTCTTCCCCTTGTCCTCGGGTGTTTTGTTGTTGTTCTTGTTGTTCTTTGTCACTTCCTTAAGTCCGGATCTGTCTTTCTGTCCCCATTTGTTTCTAATGCCCTCCTTCCTCCCGAGCAGAGGAGCATCTCCTCTGGCACCTCCAGAAGACTAACAAGAACATGAAATTCCAACTTCCTCCCCTTATTCCCTAACACAATTCTATAAGGGAAACATTGTAAAAACTGGATTTGTTTTCCCAATGAGAGAAAGAAAAACAGGACATCTTCCTTGGAAAGGAAGCAGCTCAGACACATTTTCGCTGTAGGTGACTACAAATCTGCCCTGAGCGGGTATACGGGATGAAGACTGAGACGTTGAGTCTGATGTCGGGCTATCTGGGTTTGAGCTCAAGCTTCGCTACTTGCTCAGTGATCTTGAGTGAATTGTTTAAAACCCATAAGTCTCTTCTGCCCATTTTTCAAATTTATTCATTTTAAAAATTTTATACATATGTTTATATATTATGTCATGTTCACACCCTCTTCTCACTCCTTCTGACTCCTGTCTTTCCCCAGCTTGTCCACCTTCTACTTTCATGGTGCTTTTTTCTTTTGACCCACTGAGTTTAGTCAGGGTTGCTTGTATTAGCATGGGTGAGCGGGTATTTACTGGAGCATGGCAACTTCGTAGGGGCTACACTGCTGAAGAAAATGATTTCTCTCCTAGACCCAGATTTTGCCCATCTTTAAAAAGGAAATAACAGTAGTGTTAGGTGGACTGTTACTCAAGGTTTAAGTATGGGATGATGAGGATGTTCACGACTCAGATTGTACAGCTCTGTAAATATATTCAAATTGCTGGGATTGTGCGCTTTAAATCGATGAATGGTAAGGTATGTGAACTTCCCCTCAGCAGAGCCGTTTCTTAGAGCACCTCAAGTAGAACCGAGCAGATAGTAGCTTTTATGAAATCTTAGCTACTCCCTCCCAGACCACCACTGTTAAAACTCTGGGCAAGCAATGGCAAGTGATCCCTGAGCCATGTTGCCTGCGGAGCACCAGTCCTGGGGGGGGGGGGGGGGGGGGAATCTCCCCTTGTGTGATGCTCAGCGTCAGAGACTCGCATTCAGTATCTAAGTGATTGACAGAACCCATTCAGGCATGCAACTGGAAGCACTGGTGCTGAACCCCTGTCTGGGCACCCAGAGGAGACAGTACCCTTCCCCTCTACCCTCCAGGGGTCCACATCTCATGAACCCTGGTCTAAACGCCAGAAAGTAACAGATGGTGGGCATATGTAAACCAACATCAGGAAATGGGGTACTTCAGTTGGGAACTATGAACAAGACATAGTAAATATGAGTCATAAGTTATAACAATAATGCCTAAATAGATATGAATGGCCACATTTTTTTCAGATGAGGAAATAAAGACTTGGAGTGGCTATTAACCTGCCAAAGATGATTTAAGTTTCAAACTAGACTTTAAAACCTGCTCTGGTTCTTTGACTATGTGTATGGTTTATGATTTATGTGTTCCCAGGGTGTACTCTGCTGTTTTAAATAAATAGCAGCCATGGGCGGGGGAGGGGAAACCTGTTCTGGTGAATCCTAAAATCCTGATTATCCCCTCGCTGTCCTTTAGCAAGGCAGCAAACACATTTTCTACCACTGTAGAGCTGGGATTGTCATAAGTAACTCTGTGAGAGACATTCCTCTCGGAATCAGATTCCTAAGAAAGGGTACACTGCTGCCTAACACTTGGTAAATTCCCAATCTCGTGCACAAGTTTATCATTTCAGGATCTTTCTCGGTGGCGGCAGAAAAACAACCCAATTCACCATGCCTGGTAAGTCACATTCTGAGGCGGTGCATCCAGCGGGGACCTGTAGTGTCACAGTAAGCAATAAGACTGACAAGCAATCCTTCCCTGACTCTAGCTCCACCAAGACAAAACCTAAGGCACTCGCTTTCACGCTAACCCTTATATACAGGCGACAGACCGCACACACACAACTCAGAGAGGGAAGAGCAATGCTGCCACCACTGTCAAGGTGTCAGGATGGAAAGACAGGAAGAAAGCACTGGCTTGCATAGGAGATCTTCATAGGAGGAGACACAAAGCTGGGAGGTACTCGGGACACACTACACAGAGTATGTTCATAGCACATAGAACAGGTTTCCAGTCACTTCTACAAGGGGCCAGTAAAGGTCCCAGCACCTGCTTCACTAAGAAATCCAGAAACTGAACTCTGAAGAACCATGTGGAAAGAGCTTTTTCTGCTTCCCTAGTAATGGACCAGTATAATAGCTCTGCTTCCTTGATGAGCAGGTTGCCCAGAGTAACTGTCTCCTAGTGATCAGGACCCTACAATCAGACAAGCACTAATGGAAAACATGCAGAAAGGGAAGTTTAACCTATCTAGACATACCTTTCTGTACACGGTCCAGATGCATATAGTGTTTCCTACCATTGAACCCTGACTTTTACAAATGGTTTTGATGGTAAAGATTACGCACAGTCTTACTGAGCACAGTGAAATGGAGGACGGGAGCTTGCTGAATCTGTCTCAGCTTTTTACATAGCTTCCTCTCCCGCCTCGACCCTGTGTGTCCTCTCCAGATGAATGCCAGTGTGGGCTTGAACATCTTCAGCGCCATCTCTTCTGCAGTGGGCATCATGCTCTTCATCACGGATATGTGTGTTGCAGGAACCAGTGGCTACCATTACTACGACAGCAGGGTGAGAGTCTGCAGTCAAAGATCCCTGCCACCACTCAGCTATGTTCAGACCATGCCAGAAAGAGCCCAGCAGCTAAGCCTTCCCTCTGATCCTTGTTAATGTGGGAGAATTGAGGGGGGGGAGGGAGCCCACATTTAGTTAAGGTGCAGTGAGGGTCGGGGACATTTTCGTTTTGAGGAGTGACACTTTGAAATCCAGGTTGTGTTTTACACTGACGGCATGTCTCTGTTATGGCCTCAGCACTCCAATCTGATACTCAGTGGCCACAGGGAATTGTGATACTGAACCTAATGGGCAGCTTTGGGCGTGTTCTCTCAGCCTGCCAGTAGACCACAGCCTCACCCAGCAGACAAGTTCTCCCTTCCCCCATCCCTTCTCTCTTCCACACTATCTAGCCCCTCCATTTTCTTAGAGGTTTTCTAGCGGCACACAGGCTTGCTTTCAGCTTTTCCTTCTCACAAGGCAACGCCACCCTTCAGTTGCTAGAGACAAAACCATTGACCCCTCTCTCTCACTTCTCAGCTGGGTCCTTAAGGAATCCAGCTGGGTTTTTTTTTTGGAGGGGGGGATGCATACAGAATCCAGACATGTTTCCCACTTCGTTCCCATTGTAGAGTGGGTCCTAACTACTGTGTCTCTCGTCTCAGTCACTGAAATAGCCTCCCCTGACCCTGCTTCTGATCCTGCTCCTTACCCTCTCTCTACCCCTACCCATACCCCTCCCCTGCTCCTACCCCTGTTCCTGACCCTCTCCCTACCCCTACCCCTCCCCTGCTCCTACCTCTGCTCCTGACCCTTTCCCTACCCCTAACCCTCCCCTGCTCCTACCCCTGTTCCTGACCCTCTCCCTACCCCTACCCCTCCCCTGCTCCTACCTCTGCTCCTGACCCTTTCCCTACCCCTAACCCTCCCCTGCTCCTACCCCTGCTCCTGACCCTCTCCCTACTCCTACCCCTCCCCTGCTCCTACCCCTTATCCTGACCCTCTCCCTACTCCTACCCCTCCCCTGCTCCTACCCCTTATCCTGACCCTCTCCCTACCCCTACCCCTCCCCTGGCTCGATCCTGCCCCCCACCCCCTGCCACCCTGGTCTCCTCAAAGCTCTCTTCAGCATGGCATCCAGCTGATCCCTCTGACACACAAGACCATGTGTATTCTCTACTCGACCCATTTTATTAATAAATTACCACTGATGCAATCTTTTACAGCATTTTCTTAACCAACTACTCTCCTCCCATAAAGGCCACTGCAGTGGATGATAAAATAATCATTTTCCACCCATGCTTTAGCCTCACAAAGACCTGGGAGACAATTGTCCCCATAAGGCTAAGGGAGGGAGACTTTGCCAAGGCCACACAGAGGGCCCATTGCAGAGTCTTGTCAAACTCCTGGCCCAGTACTGATGCCCTCGGATTTTGTTTTTTCTGATTCCAGAATCTAGGCATGGCTATTTCTGGTGTGCTCCTCATCTTCTGCCTCCTGGAGCTCTGCACTGCGAGTGTGTCTTCCCACTTTGGCTGCCAAGTGACCTGCTGTCGGCACAGCAATGTGAGTCCTGGGGTGCCTTGGTGGGTAGAAACACACCCCAAGAGGATAGAAGACTAACAGGGTCTCTGTGGATTTTATTCCTGCGAAAGAGGAGGAAGTGGGAAAACGTCGACAGGTCTCAGTGTTTACCTTTAACTTGTCTTCATTGCTGGGGCACCTTAGTCTACTCGCTGTTGTTATCACTCAGCTGGGTAATTTATAAAACAAAGAAGAGTTCTTGCCTCTCAGTTCTAGTGGCTGGAGTAGCTACACAGCTTTGCCCTTGAGTACTTCTGAGCAGAGGCCTTCTCTGCCTGGGTTAAAACACAGCAGAGAAGGAAAACGAAGAGTGGCCTCGTTGAGAAAGGTTGAAGCATGTGGGGTGGCCTTGCTTTATTACAGCATCCTCTGGTGAAAAGTAGCTCTCGCCCTGAGTCAAGAATAAACCCATTCATGAAAGTGGTACCCACAGCCTAATCGCCGTCCCCCAGACCTCAGCCACACCATGCTAGAGTGTAGGCTTCCAGCAATGAACCTCTGGAGGACTACTCTAGCGTTCTTGAAGTGTGCACCTGCTGTGAGCCTTTGTTTTTCAGGTGGATGTGGTCATTCCAAATGTCTACGCAACAAATCCAGTGGTCATCCCAGAACCACCAAACCCAATACCAAGTTACTCCAGTGTAGTTCAAGACTCCAGATAAGTGAAGTTGAAGATTCTAGAAGACTCTTTCACTGAGACTTCAGTGATGTCCTCCCCTGCATAGGCTCCTGTAAGCCAGGTTCTTCTTTTCCTGACAAACTAGGGGAAATGTCTCTCTTTCTGCTTATTCTGTGGACTTGTGCTTCAGTTCACCCTGGCAAGTGCAGCTGGCTCTCTGCTAGAACAAGGTGGGAGACTGAAATGAATTTACGTGAAGATGTCCTCCTGAGACACATGCATCTGTATGGTGGTAGGCATCTCTCCGCCAGCCTTGGTGTATGTACAACTATGTACTCGTTGCCTATGGGAGCTTTCAGAATAGAGAAATAGTTATCTCATCACCCACATTCCCTCTGTCCGTCATTCAATCTTCTAATAAATATGTATCAAGCATCAGAAATGCCCAAGGCTTTATTTGTGGCAGACATGAACATGATATAGTTCTTGACCTTGTGGATAAGAAAACTACTGGCCTCAAAAGGAAAAAAAAATCTTTTTTGCTAATCCAGAGCAGTATGGCGGGGTGGGGAGGGAATACAGAAGAAGCTCAGGTGGATATGGTTTTTTCCAACAGTGATGCAACAAGGAGCGAGGAATCATAGAGCTGGAAGACCTCCAGAGAAGGCCAGCCTTTGAAATGGCCGGTACTTCTGTTCGCTGGCACCACTGAGTTCTGTACGTTGAGTTTTAATAAATGATTTTGGAGGTATATAAATACCCAGCCTATAAGACAGACTATGTGAAGTCTGCTGATATAATTTAAGATAACATGAATAAGAAACCAACACGTGAGTTGGGGATTTCTGTTTCCAACCACGAGAGATGGAATCAGCCATACTTAGAGATGAGTTGTCAAAATTGCTAGTGGAGCAGGGGTACTAGAGCATCTGCTAGGTAAGAACCAGAAGTGATGTCAAATACCCACCATCCACAGGACATCCCCAGAGCAAAGAAGGGGCTGGCCCAAAAGGGCAACAATGCTAAGTCTGAGAAATAAACCTTGTTTTTTGAGAAAAACGTAATTATCTCAAAGGGCCATGAAAGAGTAATTCTTCCAAACACACAAATATATGGAGTCAGGTTTTCCTTCATATACCCACCACACCAAAACAAACTATTAAAACAGAGCAAATGGTAACGTCTACACTTCTTCAGACATGAAAGATATACATAAATCTGATGAGGTTTAGGATGCTCCGACCCAAAATGTGTCGTCAGGCACTTGAGAAACCCTGTAAGCGGGAAGTCACTCCCACGTCCCCTTGCCTGTCCCCCTGACTATGGAGCTCCTCACTGTCCCCACCCAGAGAGAAGGTGTTCTGCTGTCTGAAGACACAGAGAAGACATCAGTCAAACAGGCCATGAGAAGCTCACCTGTTCATCACCTTAGATCACCCTTTTTAAGATGTTTTCAGATGTTACTCATTTTTATTTTATGTGTATGGGGTGTTTTGCCTTCATTTATGTGTGTTCTGGTAGAGCCCCCTAGTGCCCAAAGAGTGAGTTTCCATTCTGGAGGCTCACAACCCTGCCTAGAAGCCCTCGTTCCTCCTCCCCAGTGTGCAATCTGGGTCCTTCAGTCAGACTCAGCAGCTCCTGGGAAAAGTCCACCAGACTTGATCATTGACTCACTCGTTTTACACAATCATAAAATACGCGCCCGTGCAGGTGGCAACCAGGTCTCCAACACTCTAGCTGAGCAACCTGCCACAGTGCTTGCCTCAGATAGAGATGCCACACACACACACACACACACACACACACACACACACACACACTTCTTTACAGAGGCACTGGCTGTAAGGGAGCAAAGTAACCATTCTTTCTCATCTACCCTGGAGACTCTCAAAGGCCCTAAGGGAGCAAAGTAACCATTCTTTCTCATCTACTATGGAGGCTCTCAAAGACCCAGAAAGACCTTTTACCTATGGACCTGAGAGAGAATGTGGGAGTTCCCAAAGCCATAGGGGTGCGAAGTCAAGTTACAGCTCAAACATTCCCACATCCAGATCAGCATTCATGCCCTCTCCATTCATTCTACTTCCAGACCCCCGGGATGATGATTCTCGGTGGGATCTTTATCACCTACATCATGCAGCAATGCCATGCCTGGGAGTCTTCCAAGAATGCCTTATAGTCTCCTGCGATCATGATGTGAGTCCTGGGGCTTTCTGGGGGCATATAAAGATGCTCCTTCATAGGACAGTCTCTAGAGGGACCTCCTGTTCCTGGCTCCCTACCCAGCGGCATGCATTGTGACAGTGTCACAGAGTCCTGCAAGTCTGCACAGCCTTTGCTGTGCCATAAGTATGTATATTCCAGTTCCAACCATCATGACAAACACATTGGGCAACTCAAGTCAAGAAAGCCACCCATGGGGTCATTCCAGAAAGTTCCAGTATTTCAAGAAGCAAACCTAGAGGCCAAAATAAGTCATCTCCCTTCTGGGTATACATCATCCCGCCTCTTCCTTTCTTAAAAGACTGAGTGTTAGGATTCAGGCATTAGCTGGCCTGCCCTGTCATCTGGCAGGAAGTACCCAGGCTGTACCCTGGCCAGCCCAGGGTCCAATGGCTGCTACGTCACTACGTAGTCTGTACACAGATGCAAAGGTCCCTTTTTGTGAATTTTTTATTGCTTTTATTGAGCTATATACTTTTCTATGCTCCCCTCCTTTCCTCTTCCCTCCCCTCCTACCCTCTCCCATGGTCCCCATGCTCCCAATTTACTCAGGAGATCTTGTCTTTTTCTACTTCCCATGTAGATTAGATCCATGTATGTCTCTCTTAGGGACTTCTTTGTTATCTAGGTTCTCTGGGATTGTGAATTGTAGGCAGGTTTTTCTTTGCTTTATCTCTAAAAGTCACTTATGAGTGAGTGCATATGATATCTGTATTTCTGGGACTGGGTTAACTCACTCAACATGATGTTTTCTAAATCCATTTGCCTGCAAATTTCAAGATGTCGTTATGTAGTACTCCATTGTGTAAATGTACCAAAATTTCCTTATCCATTCTTTGGTTGAGGGACATTTAGGTTGTTTCCAGGTTCTGGCTATGGCAAATAATGCTGCTATGAACATAGTTGAGCACATGTCCTTGTGGTATGATTGAGCATCCTTTGGGTATATACCCAAAAGTGGTATTGCTGGGTCTTGAGGAAGGTTGTTTCCTAATTCTCTGAGAAATTTCCATACTGATATCCAAAAAGAGCTGTACCAGTTTTCACTCCCACCAGCAATGGAGGAGTGTTTCCTTTAACGCACATCCTCTCTAACAAAAGTTGTCATTGGTATTTTTGATCTTGGCTATTCTTACAGGTGTAAGATGAATTCTCAGAGTTGTTTTGATTTGCATTTCTCTGATGACTAAGGATGTTGAGCATTTCCTTAAGTGTCTTTCAGCTATTTTAGATTCCTCTGTTAAGAGTTCTCTGCTTAGATCAATACCCTATTTTTTATTGGATTATTTGTTCTTCTGATTACCACTTTATTGAGTTCTTTGTATATTTTGGAGATCAGCCCTCAGTCTGATGTGGGGTTGGTGAAGATCTTTTCCCATTCTGCAGGCTGTTGTTTTATCTTGTTGACCATGTTATTTGCTCTACAGAAGATTCTCAGTTTCAGGAGGTCCCATTTATTAGTTGTTTCTCTCAGTGTCTGTGCTGCTGGAGTTATATTTAGGAAGTGATCGCCTGTGCCAATGAGTTCAAGTGTACTTCCCACTTTTTCTTCTGTGAAGTTCAGTTTGGTTGGCTTTATGTTGAGGTCTTTGATCCATTTGGACTTGAGTTTTGTGCATGGTGATAGATATGGATTTATTTTCATTCTTCTACATGTTGATATCCAGTTATGCCAGCACCACTTGTTAAATCTGCTTTCTTTTTATATTTTATATTTTTTTACTTTCTGTCAAAAGTCAGGTGTTTGTAGGTGTGCGGATTGATATCCAGGTCTTCGATTTGGTTCCATTGTTCCTCCTGTCTGTTTTTATGCCAATACTGTTTTCAGTACTGTAGCTCTGCAGTAGAGTTTGAAATCAGGGATTGTGATGCCTTCAGAAGTTCCTTTATTGTACAGGATTGTTTTGGCTATCCTGGGTTTTTTGCTTTTCTATATGAAGTTGAGAATTTTTCTTTCCAGGTCTGTGAAGAATTTTTCTGGGTTTTTGATGGGCATTGTATTGAATTTGTAGATTGTTTTCGGTCAGACTGCCATTTTCTTCCTTTCTTTCTTTCTTTCTTTCTTCCTTTTTTTGGTTTTTTTTTTTTTTTGAGTCAGTGTTTCTCTGTAGCTTTGGAACCTGTCCTGGAACTAGCTCTTGTAGACCAAGCTGGCCTCGAACTCACAGAGAGCCTCCTGCCTCTGCCTCCCAAGTGCTGGAATTAAAGGTGTGCACCACCACTGTTTTGAATGGATAAAAAAAATGTGATACATTTATACAATGGAGTACTACATAGTAGAAAAAATAACAACATCTTAAATTTTGCAGGAAAATGGATGGCGCTCAAAACATCATTTTGAGTGAGGTAACCCAGACACAGAAAGACAATTATCACAAGTACTCACTATAAGTGGTTTTTAAACATAAAGCAAAGAAAACCAGCCTACAAATCACAATCCCAGAGAACTTAGACAACAATGAGGACCCTAAGAGAGACTTACAATTATCTAATCTACATGGGAAGTAGAAAAATACAAGATCTCCTGAGTAAATTGGGAGCATGGGGACCTTAGGAGAGGGTTGAAGGGGAGGGGAGAGAAGGGAGGGGAGCAGAAAAAAATGTAGAGCTCAATAAAAATCAATAAAAAATTATGAAAAAGGTGTGGTATAACTGAATCTTAAGGTAGATTGATTCCCATCTTGCCGAGGAACCACTACACTGATTTCAGTAGTGAGTGTACAAGTTTGCACTCCCACCAGCAATGCATGAACATTCTCCTTACTTCATATCCACAGCCTGAACTGTCACTTGATTTATTTATTTTATTTATTTATTTATTTATTTATAAAACAATCTTATTTTACATACTAATCCCAGTTTCTGGTTTTATCTTTCATCTTGTGATAATCAAGAATTTGGACCTTTGGGTTGTCACCAGGCAACAGAGTAGCAGGATTGATGGGGTAGGTTTCTCAAACTAGATTTAAGGATGATCCAGGATTAGGGCCTGGTATTGGTTCTTACAGGCGTTAGACAGCCAGAGCTGTGGTTTTTCTTGGGGGAGAGACTCAACTATGTGGGGTGTTATGAGTGTATAAGATCCTGACCTAGAGCCAGGAAGTTGTGATGCAGGCCTTTAATCCCAGCACTCAGGAGGCAGAGGCAGGGGGTTCTCTGTGAGTTTGAAACCAGCCTGGTCTATAAAGTGAGTTCTAGGGCAGCCAGGGCTACAC